TCTTTTGTTCACTCAATTTTTAGTGTTAACTATGTTAACCTTGTGGACCAATAACATTTATTGTTTGTGGTATGTTTTATTAAGGTAATAATTATAGGATGGAGTACAAAAGGGTAAATTATACATAGACGTAAGTTACATTTGTATTAATTAATGAGTTGTTACAATTTAATTGTTGCATGATTTTTGTGATTATGATCAATTCATCAAATTACACGATATTTTATCATTAAATAAAATTATACTTGATCAAATGATTAGTACGAGTGAACAAATCACATTTAAAATTTTGTGAAGCGTATGATAATTTTGTAATGGTGAGATGAATTGTGGAGGAAAGTGTTGACACCACGTTTACATCTTCAACTTCCCTCATTCCCATTCAAATTCCAGTATGTGAATGGTTGAACATAATTTCATTGTTCATAAGTGAACATATTTCTATACGTGTACATGTTTATTGTCTGTTAACATATGAAAAGGTGAAACAACCAAGTGAACATATGCGAACATCCGAGCATTGCATATAACACATGTAAACATATATGAACATCCAAACACACTTGGAATATCTGAACACAATCTTATTGTTCATAAGTGAACCGATGTTCATATAAAGGGGGAGATGCCCATGTATATATTAATGTTCATAATGACAAAGATTTTTTTTATTAATAACAATGTATTAATACATATGGGCAGTTCAAAACATTAATATGCACATGGGCATTTACAAAACATCCAAGTCTTTATGATTTTTTTTTCTAATAATACCCTTATCTATACTATATTATAAAGCATTCGACAAAAACTCTTAAAAACTATTTTTTATGCATGAAATACTGTTTATTGATGCATATTACATAAAATTTAAGATTACAAGTAAATTGTGCATAAATACAACTTATTAAAACTCCATGTTTGAATCCGTGTAACTAACTTTGAATATACATAACCAATTAGAGGATAAACATCTCATTTTAAAATATAAAAAATCCAAAATATAACTAGAATAATTATCGTGTTCTAACAAAATAATTAATTATATCTTTATAAAAAAATTATATTATTAAACCAAATATAAATTGTTTCGTTACTAAACCTAAATTAAATTATAATAAAAAAATTGAATTATAAAATTACATAAAAAATAGGAATTTTAAATAGTTAATTTGATACTAATATCGATATATTTTTGTCAAATATTTATGATATATTCAAATTTATATTTTATTCAAAAATAAAAACATTATCGCTTTTTCAAAATCACAAAGGACCATACTATAACATCAATTGAGATAAAAAATAAAATATTAAAATCAGGATATATCTCGCTGCATTACACAAATACCATTATAGTTTCCAATAATATAAACATAGCTACAACCCTTTTTTAGTTAAACTCTTATTTCTAATAATATAAACATAGTTACAACCCTTTTTTAGTTAAACCCACGTATTAAAAAAACCCACCCATTAAAAATTATTCCCCAAAGTATTTAAATAAACAATTTTCTTTTTAATTTTTTAACCCCCATATAAACCTCATTGGACATGTGGTTCTTACAAAAATTAATTAGGTTATTCATCTTTTATTTTCCAATAATATTTGGTTAATCATTAAAATAATATTTATTGCTGAATTAATTTTGTAAAAATAATTGAAAAATTAAACTAAACAAACCATATTGTATACATACATTTTTTATTAACTTGGATATACAACCCGCTATGCGAGCCGATTAATCTTAGAACGATCACCTGCTTTGCATATAGCCCGGAGTCACCGTATTTGAACCTCCGTGGCCACAAGGGGATTTTTATTCCTCCTTAGATTTGAACCTGAGATCTCCTGGTACTTTTGACCTTTGGAGCCAAACTTAAACCAATCAGACACCACCCTTATGGTTATATTCTTTTTATTATGTGTTAATGAATATATAAAAAATCCATTTCTACTTAATAATTTTCTTTTTAAATATATTAACATCCTACTAATTTTTTGCATTAATAATATATGGTTTAACCTGAATTTAATATATAATAATAGTTATAAAAATAGGATTAGGTTCACATGAGACCAACTTGACAATAAAATACTGTGAATGTAACGTTTTGTTATAAAATTTCAAGTGTAAAAAAATTGTCTCATGAAACTTACGAAAATAAGCTGGTCTCACTTGATTACAAGTCTATAAATATATTTAACTACTTTAAAAGAAATATATTATACTATGGTGTGGATTTGTTTTGTATATATACACGCAAATGGCTACACTCCCATCACTTGGGCCCCTCCTCCATTCTCTCGAGTGAATTTTCTGGTATACTTTCTTTTTTCCGTTACTCTTCTTCTGTGCAACTGAAAACAAACCCACGCAAATGTCAACCACCTCGTCTTCTTCGTCACGTGACGGAGGAGACGGTGGAAATGGAGGTGCCGGAGAGTTTGAAGGACCGTCGCAATCTCGTCAACGCTTCAACAGCGCTGTATGGCCGGAGCCGTTCCTTGAAGCTCTTGCTACTCAAGTCGCTATTGACGCCGCTCTCTCATTTGGCCGCCTTGCCGCTGCTCCTGCTCTCTTCAATCTCTTCCAGGTAAAATCGCATCATTATTTGAATCGGTGCACCTAGGGGTTTTCTGTGAATCACTGCATTTTGTGCACATTTCTGTAGTTTATTATGATTGTGCATTTAGGATCCATGCAAGTTTTTCAATGTTTGTTTATGTGATCTGAATGATTATCCTCAGCTTTATTAGTTTAACATTGTTTCTGTTGTTGATTTTTTCGTAAAACGTATGGGCCTAGTGATCGTTTTACATCGAATAGCGTTGAAAGTCATAAGCACCTCCTATGGAACATGAAAATTACACAAACAGATTTCATAAAAACCACTACCTTCGGCAATATTCACTTGCTCGCACTAAAATAGATTCCAGAACTTTCTGGTGCATTATACAGAACTTAAAACACATTTTCTGCAAAAAGAGGGAAAAAACTACTACTCGGAAACTTTTTACTCGAGTATGTTTTTTTTTGAAATTATACATTAATATGCCATCTCGCCGTGTAATCCGGGCCTTTACTCCGACGTTGAAAGCAACGTTGAATTCTTTTCTTTAAGATCATGGAGAGGGGTTTTCCTCCCTTTTTTTATGATTTGATATGGCAATTTGGAACAGCATTGGGTTAAGTTCCAGCATGGGCATACCTGGTACCTTTAAAAATATCTATCGGAACCATCCCTGATCTTGTGTTTCTGTAAATTCTAAAGTATGTATAAACAAAACCGATCTAGGGTTTCTTTTTTGTTTCGGAAAATTATGAAGAAAATAAAAAGGGCAAGACCAAAATTATACCATACTCCATAGTCCATACAGAAGTACATGTTACAAAAGAAGTCTTCGTTGGAGTGGTATCCGAGCCTTTCGCCTCCGTCCATGGTTCAAACCTTGCAAAAAAAAAAGAGTAAACGATACTCCATGAAATAGTAAATGTTGTTGGCTAAGTTGCACCGTTGAGAGTGTTTGGTTAGTTTTCCATTAAATAGTTAATAAGGTAGATGTTGGCTTAATTAGTTATGATTGATAGGAATTAGCTGACAAGCTTATCACAAACAGTAGAATGCTTTCGTCAAGAAAATTGAAGGGCAAGACTGAAATTACAACAACACTCCATAAAGAAGTAGAATGCTTTTGTCATCTCAGAAGAGAAAATGTATACCAGGTCTTTCTTATGTAGTACCACTTCGTATCACAGCAAGTAAGTTATGGTAATAGGTCTGAGCACAGATCCTGCTGCTGATCTATTTGTACCCTTTATTTATATTATTGTACTTTATATGCATACGAATATATCTAGTTACTCTATATTTTCCAATAAAACATACCATCTCTTTTTGGTTCTCGATTGTCTTTAAAAATAGATATAGTTTATATTAACAGGCTTTTTTCTTTTGTATTCAACAACATCTAATGTATATTTGTTATTAGATTATTATTGTAGAGGATTAAACGTTAACGTAGTCAAAATAGGAGAACATGAGAATAACAATATCACACGCAACTACGAAACATGGTCAACAGGTTACGCGGGCGACCTTAGCTACCGCCGAGGTTGCACGAATCACATGTGATTTTATGCTAATCATGTGTAAAATCACATGTGATTTGACCGGTATTCTTTTATTTGGTAGCTTTATTCTTGTTTGAAACCGAATCTATTACATCAAAAGCCACATCTTTTAAAAGAACCAACATTTTTTGTCTCTGCATATTTCCACTTAAAAAATAAAAAGATTCTATAAAACCTTCTAGGAGAAAGTAGGAAAGAAAGATTAAAATTCGAGGAACTTCCAAAAAAAATGATTACTTTTAATAAAGAGAAATTATTATTTATTCTTTGAAAAAATCTGAATTTAAATGTTTAAGTGACAACTAATTAATTATATTAGATATTTTAATAATATAATAAAAGAACTTTTAATTTTTTTTCAATGGAAGAGTAAAACCTATTCTATAGCACTTGTATATGAAAAAGGTAATGGACCTTATTACCTTTTTGTTATTGTTTAAATGTGGCCGGTTTTATCTATAAGATCTGAAATGATGCGTTCGGCGTGAGATTTGTGGGACGTGGAGGGTTAATTAATTGCAAGTTGATAGACGGAAGGTGCAGGTTCGTCTCTTCTTTCCAAAGGGGGACGATACTTTTTCTTTTGGGGTGTGGGGGCTTTTGGATACTACTTTCTTGGGAATGAAAGCTTAAAAAAGTCATTCAAACCTTTTGACAATATAATTTTTGGCCATTTCCGTTCTGGGTCATAAACCAACAGCCGCTTGTCTTTTTCGTCGATTTATGGAATTATGATTAAATATTTTCCATTTCATTCAAAATAAAATACAGCAGAGGGCATTTTGCCATACAAAATAAAGGTATTTAGTTTTACACCGTATTTGTTGTTTGTTTACAGGGATGTGTGTGATTGATAATTTATAGAAAAAAGAAAAGATGGAAAAGTATCAGAACTTTTAGAAAGCAGTTGAGGTCAAAATTTGACTACAGATCGATCTCCAACACAAAAATAAGACCCACACTTTGTCGCTTTCAAAGAAATTTGGCTTTCTATCACCACCTTTAGTTGTTGCCCTTTTGCCTTTCTGTGTTGTTTTTGCAAGGCACACAACAGATTAAATATTTATTTTAATAATTATGAATGATACACTTTTCTATGTGTATATATATCATCTGGGGTTGTACTTTTTTTGTGTACCTTATCCTCCTGTCCCCGGCCCCATCTTCATTGATTTTATAGTACTCTTATACTAATTTCCTTTTGGGCAATATAAATGTACTCATGTATGTGTACATATATAAACTCCAACCAAGGATGGAATCGACTACACAAAGCTTTAACATGAGAGATCCTATGCCCAATGGCTTTGTCTTTCATGGTATATTCTTGTCCTATTTCTTCTAAATAACTAAAAAAGTTCTTTTTAAGTTAAAAAAATACTCTGGCCTTTAAGGATCTTAACCAAATTGAAACCACTTTTCCTTCCCTCCATGAAACGTTATATATATATATATATATATATATATATATTTTGCAGTATGATGTTTTGGCAGATGATTGATATTTTAGACATCTCTGCCCCCTAAAAATCAAACCGTAAGCCACAAAGCCCATAAAGTTGCAAACTTTTAGAACAGTAGGAGCGTATATATTGAGGAGTTGGTTGAATTATTAAATATGGATTAATAAAGGGTACAAGTGAAAAGGTGGTAATTGGCACGATTTTCATTAGGGGGGAAGACGGGGAGTTGGAATGGGTAGAGATGAGTAAGACTGATGAATAGTTAGTGCAGAAGTAGTACTGGGTTTGGTGGTACTTAAAAGAAAAGAAGCAGAATAAGAGGACAAGACGAAACGCTACTAAAGTTAAAAAAAGGGAAAAAAGGAAAGGAAAGGGCTATGTAATAGGAGTGGCAGTAGGAGTAGGCTTAGGGCATCAGGTGATCTACAAATGTATATACAACACAGCAAGAAAGCTGTCTTTTTCTTATTCTCCGAGCATAGCTTCTGACCACTTTCTGACCTCTCTCTCTCAACGTTAATTAACATCATATATGTACGTATCTCACAACACCCACACACAGAGGCAGGGCAGCAGGCAAGAATTTGTTTCTTTAAAGCAAGTCTCCCATCATATTGTGTCTCTCTCCTTTTTTTCTCTCACTAGCTTTCTGCATGCCTGAATAGCGCATGAACTCTCCTTCTGTCATAGGATTTTCCCCATGCTGCTAAAGTCTTTCTATCTTATCAATTCCAATTTTGTTTACTCGAGTATTTTTATATACATTTTTTATTTCTTGTGTCTTGTGTAAATATATCTCTATATTCTATCCATACATTACATTAATATATGATGGTGGTTTGCTACGTAGTTGGTGTGCCCCTCTTAAATATTCCTTTAATGTTTTACTATTTTATATATGAAACTATATTTAATACATGCTGTTGCACTTTGATTACATGCTCTACAGGATTAACTTACAACAAAATATGTATTAATTAGCAGATTTTAAATTCAATGAAACTTGATACAATATATATATATATATATATATATATATATATATATATTAAATCTTGTTTTTTGAAAAGGAATTCAAGTGACTTGTGATGTATTTCGATGAAAATACATCATTTATGTTTCAAAATATTACTATAAATATTTTGTTTTTTACTGAAAATTTGAGCTTTGCTCTGGTTAACACAAGTTTTAAAATTTAAATATGACATAAACATGCCTACACATGTTTAGAAAATAAGATACTCAAATGATTTAATATATTGTAATTTAAGAATACTTGAGTTGTCTTAACATAATTTTTTTTCTAAATATAATGACAAAGATAGCAAAGTTCTAATCTATTATATGGTTTTTTTTATAACAACTACTCTAGAGGTTTTTGCTATACGACTTTTGATTCTTTTTTAATTGTAAATATTGAATTTAAAGATATTATATTGCAATTTAAATAAACTCCCCCACTTAGAGATGTTACATAAATTGGGGAAAAGAGCCTGAAATTAGGGAAGTTTGTTACATATTATTATATTTCAACGAGTAACTAACTAACCAAATGGAATGAATGCTCCAAGTTGTTATTTTCCTTTCATCTATGTTATATGATAAAGTATTTGACAAATTTTTTAAAAAATAATACATATTACTTAAAATTCAAGATTATAAGTAAATTATGTATAAGTACAACTTATTAAAATTTCATATCTGAATTCGTATAAGTAACAGCAAATAAACATAATCAAATAGAGGATAAAGATTTTATTTTAAATATAAAAAATTTAAAATATAATTAGATAATCATTAAGTTGTAACAAAATAGTTAATTATTATGTTTATAAAAAATTATATTATTAAACTAAAAAATAAAAAACTGAATTAAAAAAATACAAAAAAGAGAAATTATAAATATTTAATTTGATACTAATATCAATATTTTTTTTTTTAATTTCTTATGATATCTTTATATTTATATTTTATTTAAAAATAAAAAATTATCATTTTTTTAGAACCAGATAAAACCGTATTATAATATCAATTGAGACAAAAAAAATAAGTAAAAAAATATATTAAAATCGAGAGAGGAAAATAAAAATATTCATGTTCACAAGCTTGCACAAGTACCTTTTTAGTAATTCCTAAAATATCTTCACTCTGTTCTTAAACCCTTTTTTTTAAGGACGAGAATTTGTGTTCTCAAAACTTTAGAGCAAGAAAGGAAACTAAATGGATGGAAAATATTGTTCTTAAACCTTTTTTTACAAAGGAAAGGGAGAAAATGGGAAAAGAAAAAAAATCGTGTTCTCAAAACCTTTTAATCTGAGAGAAAAAAGAAAGAAAAAAAAATAAAAAAAATTAAAACCCTTTAAAAATATTACTAAAATCATAAAATTATCCAAAGAATATTTTTTAAATGGTGTATTTATAAAAATGACATTTTCTTTTTCCTACCTTTTTCAAGATCGCTAATAAAAGAATATTTTCCTTTCTTTTCCATCTATCTTTTTTAAGTTTTTCTTCGTCAATAACTTTCGATATTATCCGGCTAAAAGTAACAGTTATCTTGAACATAGCCTACCACTTTAAAGGAAGTGTAGCTAGTACCTGGTTGTTTTCCTTTTGGTCTTCTAAATTTTCATTTCGTGGTCTCATTATTTTGCTTTGAAGATGGGATATCTGAATCTGGAGTGAAATTACAGTCAACTAAAGTTTGGTAGAAATTGAGACCATTTAGGTTGAAACCTTGCTCCAACCATTTAGCAGAACGGGAACTGAAAATCCATGCAAATGTGCTTGAAAAGAAAGAATACGATAAAAGCTTGTGAAGCGTAATGTAGACGAAGGTGATATCCTAATTTATCTGCAGAATGCATGCACTGTTCGACTTCACGACCTTGTACTCCCACAAGTACTATTAAATCAAGAGAAAAGGTTAAAGTGTGAAATTGATCTTGTTTTACCATCTTCTTGGTTCTGTTGAATGCATTTTTCAGAGAAAGCTAAATCACCAAGTTTTGCAGTTCAAAAAGGATTTTTTTTAACAGTAGATGTTTAGGTTACTTGCACGTTTTTGAAAATCAGTGAACTTTTTAAATTTCAGTTTTCCTGCTTAGGCTGAAGATATTAGCAATACAGTTTTCCTGCTTAGGCTGAAGATATTTCCTTCAAGATTGTTGCACTTTTCTTTTTGTTCAAATACTTTCAAAAACCCTCTTAATGTGGGTGCCCGCCGGTTGCAGGTTTGTAGAACATGGAGAACTGTATCCCAGTCTGATCTCCTATGGCAAACCCTCACACGACGTATTTGGCATCGCAACCATCTCCTCCATCCCTCTTGGCATGATGAATACATTTACCGCCACCGAACTGCTAGAAACTTCCGTGTCAGGAGGTGTTTGTACACAACCCTACACTTCCCTCCCAATGATGACAACACCAACGACAGCCTTTCTTGCCGTTGCCTTGCACTATCTGATTACCACCTAGCCGCTGGATTTTCTGATGGGTCTGTTCGCCTATTTCACCTCCTTACCAGGCTCCACCTGTCCACCTTCCACCCCCACCAACGCAATCATCTTGGCCCATTCTCCCGTGCTGTATGTGGGATCTTTTTTACAGATAACAGGGTAGTTTTTGCCTCCCTCGATGGTGATATTCATGTTGCATCCGTCAATGTTCCAGGAGCTCCACGGAGGGCCCACTTGGGTGATGTGGTCACTGATGGTGTCCTTGTGGATTTCACAGGTTGTAACCGGTGGTGGATCGGCCTTTATGCAGGTGCATGCTTCAATATATTTAATTCATAGAAATCATAATCGTTTTTAATTTGTTAGAGTTCTACATCGGCTATACTTGGATAATATCTGCTTTCAAGTCTGTTGGAGTCCCTCCTCTTTTCTCTAGTTCTCTTTTGGAGTGTAGTCCAATGAGTTATCACGAGTCCAATGAGTTATCTCGCACTCTTATGTGGTATGAGAGGCAATGTCTACCACCCTACTAGTCTTTAGAGGGTCGACACTCTGGGGTAATTTGTACTCGTCTATCCCCTTTTGCCACTCTAAATCCCCCATTGGAGGGGTGTGGATGTGTTAGAGTCGCATGTTGGCTAGACTTGGACCATTTTTTCTCGATATTTGTTGGAACCTCCTTCTCTCTAGTGCTCAATTGGAGAGTAATATAATAGAGTTTCACATATCGTTACACAATTTCTCTCTTAATACATCTTGATTACAAGCATGGCTGATACATTTTTTATTTGACGTGGTAGGTGTTCCAAACCGTGCCTTCCATGTACGAAATGGTAATACCGAAGAACTTGTATTCATTGGTGGCACATTGACCGACCCAGATGCTGTAACTGGTTGGCACCTACTGACAGACCTAAGTGAGCAGGTTGGGCGAATCCGCATAACAAGTGAAGATCGGGCGGTGGCTTTCACCAGCAGCAAGGTTCTTGTATTTGATTTGAGAAGCCAAATGATTTTAGGAGAAGAAGAGTTTGTAAGGCGGATTAATGTTGGTGCAGCTGATGCGTATGATAATGCTCTTATGTTCGTAAATAGTAGGGGGGTAGGTAATGTGCGGGAGGTGGGTAGTTTGGAGGAAATGTGTAGGTTCATGGCGAGGGGCGGGGTGATCGGTTGCATGAACGGTGGCTACTGTATAATATGCTGCAGTGGGGGTGGGGTTAGGGTTTGGGAGTTGAATCACGGACAGTACTTGTACAGTTTTAGAGAAAGGGTCGGGGATCGCACGAGTGCCTTGATCGCAGATGAACGGTATGTAGCGGCTTGTACTAGTGACAACACCATTCACCTATGGGATTTTGGAGCAACCTAATTGTAGGTATAGATTTGTTGTACATGCTCACACAAAAGACAGTCACAGAGGGAGGATCTTATGATGGTTGTGAAAGGTGTGTTTGTGATCCTGTATGATGCTACTTAGGTTTGGCTGATTTGCTGCTAGTGTTTGATTAGTTTCATTTTGCATGGGTAGTTAGACAAGTATTAATTGTTGACATTTTCTTAGTATTAGTATTGAATTGGGAAGGAATTATTATATATTTACATTTTTCATGGTGAAGATGGTTTGAATCATGAGTGTCCGAGTTAACTTGTAAGTGAAAAATCTTTGGTGACCTTGCAGAATTTGCACCAATGAGGATCCCCATAGTCCCTGTAGTAGTTTTGCTTCACCCTCAAAAGATTCTCTTTTGCTAAAATGCAAATATATGCTTACATGGTATCGGAGGATGAGGACTCGATACTCGGTGTGTCCTTATCTAGATACGGTTGCAGGGTGTGTGTTAGCCTCTTACATGATTTGGACCGTTTATTTTTTATATATGTTTTTCTTTGTTATTAATAAATTTTCTGGAGAGTAATTTAATATGGTTTCACATATTTTTGCACATTTAATCGAGGCTTATGGTTTCAAATTTTCATTTTTTGATTCATACGGTTCATGTTTGATATCCCAATTTGTATATAGATATGATCATCTAATAACCCACCTTGATGGTACCCATACGTTGCTGATTGATTGTTAGGGTACTTGTATGAGGTTAACATGTGACATTAAAAGGACCTTTTTGCCAGGTGAGAATTTGGAGCAAATCTCTTTACTATGATTATGACTAGGGCTCCAAACGAACCGAACCGAACCGGATGTTCAACGAATTGTTTGATGAAAAGTTTATTTACAAATAAACTAATGGATTTAAGCGATGGTCTTGTTCACTACCCAATTATGTTTCTAAACTTCGTTTGTATTCATTCTTATGGTTTGCATTTGTTTTGTTTGTATATAGGGGCAGATGTTAATGAGAAGACAGTAAGAAGATGAGATACAATACAAACCACATAATTCATTAATTAAAAAATACTATAAAGAAAAAATGAAAAATAATTTTAGAAATAAATATTCTTTTAAAGATATAATTATAAGAGTATTGTGGCGTTCTAACAGCAACAGCAGTCGAATTAGATCTATAAAATGATCGACTCAAAGAAATGTTATCTAAATCACTTAAAAATTTCATTATATCTTTAATTTCTTTTAATTTTAATTAGTTCATAATTTTTTTTATCAAGTTTATATTAAAAAAAAAAATCTAGATAAACTTTTGATAAAAAAAATCACAATTTTTCATAAATATATCACATGTGATATCCATAATCATTTAACTAACTTTTTCACTATTTTCTTTATCTTTTGGATCCACTTTTTCAATAAGATGTGATTAGTTTTGTTTAACATTTGATCTATTACGTATCACATATGATTCATTTTGTGGATTTTTGTACAGATCACATATTATGATATATGAGTGAGCATAAGTTATGTGTTATCACATGTGGTAATAGACGTCTGAATATAAGTAACGTATTATCACATGTGATAATTTTGCATCACCAATTTTTTTTATAAATGTATATATACATAATCACATAGTCTTAACAAAAATATCTACAATTATCTCATATGATTGATACGATCACAGATAAATTATCATATGTGATATAAACTTATAATCAATATGTTATGTGTTTATCTTTGTGATAAAATCGGTTTATTAAGAATATTAAAAATTGGTTCGGAAAACAACCTTAATCCCAATATATCAAGGATTATCACCACGGGTATAGATAATGCTACATTTTTAATTTAATTTGATTCATTTATTGAATAAGGTGTAGACCTGTATTTATTCTAGTCCTCTTGCAAATAATTTGCTTCTCGCATGATGTATAATATATATATACAAGAAGCGTACTCCGCAATGCAGCGAGATAAATCGTGATTTTAATATTTCATTTTATTCTTTATCTCAGCTGATGTTATAATATTGCTTTATGTGATTTTAAGAAAACGATAATGTTTTTATTTTTGAATAAAATATATGTTTGATTATATCATAAAAATTTGACAAAAATATATCGATATTAGTATGAAATTAACTATTTGAAATTCCTCATTTTTTTGTGTAATTTTTTAATTCAATTTTTTTAAAATTTAATTTATGTACAAT